AGGGTGTATGGAAGATTCCGTGCACTCGGAGTCCCAATTCTGAGGGTCCACACGGACCGTGAGAAATCCTTCCTCTCGAAGCCGTTCCAGCGCTGGTGCTCGAGCCACTCCCTCTACCAGACCATGACGAGTGGCGACGATGGGCCGGCCAACGGAAGGGTGGAGGCTGAGGTGGGGCAGATCAAAAGGAGACTGAGAGTGCTCTTGGCGACGTCAAGGCTGGAGCTACAAGATTGGCCTGGAGTAGCACGTTGGGCCGGTGAGGAGAGGCTCCGGAAGCAGCTGCAGAAGGTGGGGGTGCCCTCGAAACCAATGGTTCCTTTGGGAGAGCGCGTGGTGGTGAAGACCAAGCGCTGGCACAAGCAGGGCCCGCTGGCAGCTCCTTTCAAGTCAATGGTTCTCATGGGGCCAAGTCCCAACATGACGAATGGCTGGGTGCTTCGAGATGGACGAAAAGTTCAACATGCACGTGCAGTGGTGCGCCCAGCAGAGGAAGGGGAGAAGGCGGTGATGGAGCTCTATGATGCTTCCACCAGAAGGGTGACGGGGAAACAGCCTCCCTACCTGGAAGATCGGAAGGTTTCTCAACCACTTCAACATGATGATCTACCTCAACTTCTGCGAGAAGACTTGGCCTTGGATGACTCTCATGATGTTTGGGGGGAGGCTGGAATCGCAGATCAGGGGGAGGATGTGCTTAGCTTGGGCTATTCTCCTGATGAGTTCCCTGACGAACTTCATGGAGACCAACCTCAGGATGGAGATCAAGACGGAAGTGTGGATGTGGAACCTGCCCTTCGCACAATGTGGGCAGGGGGGGAGTCTAACCCCACTTCAAAGGCTACTTCAAAGACTGTGGTGGATCCAAACTCTCCAAACGCCTCTGTGGCGACAACTTCAACGACATTTTCGGCTATGCTCAGTGCATGTAAGAGCTGTGGGCTTATGCAGCCTGATGGGGAGGATTGCAACTTTTGCGCTGGTCCTACATCAAGGCAGAGGTCCTCACAGTCGGGCTTAGCATCTTTGTCAGTGAAGGCGTCCTCACAGTCGGGCTTGGCATCTTTGTCAATGAAGGTGTCTTCACGGTCGGGCTCGATTGGCCGGTTGGGATCAGAAGATGTGGAACATCAAGCTGAACTTGGCCTTGAAGGTGGACGAGCTTGGGAGTCGGTGGAAGTGCCTGATCTGGCAGGATTGGTGGATAGCATCCATCGTGAACATTGGGGATGGAAGAAACTATGGGAGCAGGAGCTTTCGCGAGAAGCAGTGGGCGCTGAGACTGGCTTTGTTCATGGCCAGTGGTTGCAGTACCTGGAGGGTCAGGTGAAAAGCCTTGAGGAGGAGCTGGCACTGGTGAGTGGATCGACCTTGAAACAGGAGGCCGTGGAGTGCAGACTTGCAGCCCTCTCCAAGGATGTGGGGGGTGTCTTGGAGGAACCTCTTTGTCCAGATCCGCCTGATCAGGCTCGAGCTGTGCTGCAAACCTACACGGTGTCGCTGACTGAAGTCAAGAAGGACATCAACCTATGGAAGGAGCCTTTGCAGGCAGAAATGGAGGCCTTGGTGAGCTCTGGCACGATTCGCCGTGTGAGGGTGGATCAGCTGGTGGATGAACCTGGTTATGACAGGATGGAAGTGGCCCCGGCGAAGATTGTCCCGACGATCAAGTCGCCCTCAGGAAAAAGGAAGGCGAGAATCGTCATTTGCGGGAACATGGTGCACCCAGCTGGGCATGTGAAGCCTTCCCAACTTCCTGATGGTGGAGGGCATGATTGTCATCGACCCCGTGGAGTGGCCTCGCCGGTAGTGCAGAGCCCTGGAGATGGAAGGGACCCAAATGGGGGTGGAGTCGGAAAACCCGGAGGTGATGGACCGGCTGCAGCGACAGACCTATATGCCGGTGGGGTTGACTCTACGGCTTTGAGGTGCGTCCTGAGGAAGGCGGCAGGGGCTTCTTGGTCCTTGGCATCAACGGATGTGAGAGGGGCATTCCTATTGGCTCCCAGATCACAGACCCGACGGCAGCTCTTGGTTGTGGAGCCTCCGAGATTATTGACCTCAACTGGCTTAATCCCTGCGGAGGAACGTTGGATCTGTGATGGTGCCATGTATGGTTTAGACACCTCCCCAGCAGATTGGGCATCCTTCAGAGATCACCGCATGTCGTCCTTCCGATGGGAAACTCCAACTCACAGGTGCCATTTGTCAAGGTCGCCAGAACCCAACATCTGGTCAATCATGGGGGTATGCAAGACGAAGCACCCGGAGCCGGTCCTCAACGATGATGCACATGCGGATCCACTTGGCTTTCTCATTGTCTATGTGGATGACATCCTTTGTGTTGGACCTCGCCCGGTGGTGGAGGCCTCCTTGGGCCGGATTCGAGATGAGTGGACGTGCTCAGAGGTTGAGTGGGTCAACAGTACCAAGTGGCTGAAGTTCTGTGGGATGCAGCTCAGGTGGCAGGGAGATTCGTTGCTCTTGGGTCAGCCTGACTTTGCCCGTGAGCTTCTAGAACGACATGGTCCGGTTCCTGGTCGCCAAGTTCCACTTCCGAAGATCGACATGGTTCCGGATGTGGAGGACAGCATTGACCCTGCGGATGTCCGCAAGTGCCAGCAACTGCTGGGAGAACTCCTTTGGTTGAGTGGTCGAACTCGACCCGACCTTGCCTTCGCTGTCTCGACGTTGAGTGGTTGGGTGACCAAGTGCCCCAAGAAAGTTCAGGAGCTGGGACGCTACTTGCTGGGCTACCTGCAGGAGACTTGGGAGTTTGTCTTGGTCTACAAGAGCTGCTTGACAGATCAGGGGGAGCCGACCGATGAGCTGATGAAGCTGACTCTGCTCTCGGATGCTTCACACGCTCCACAAGGACTTCGTGGTTGCCAAGGCATATTGGCATTGTGGGGTGGCGCTCTGGTCCAGTGGGAGAGCAAAAGGCAGCCATTTGCTGCTTTAAGCAGTACAGAGGCCGAACTCATCGGCTATGTGGATGCGCTGACGATGGGCGAGTCGCTGCAAGTCATCCTGAACATCCTGGAGCACAACGCCCTGGTTGATGATGGCCAGTTTGAGATCCGAGGTGACAACCTGTCGGGGATCCAACTGCTGCTGGCGCCTGATGGCCCCTGGCGCACCCGCCACTTGAGGCTGAGGAGTTTCGTGCTGCGAGAGCGACTTGCTTCTCGCGAGTGGCATGTGGAACATGTTCCTGGAGCAGAATTGGCTGCTGACCTGCTGACGAAGCCTGTGGTGCTGCTGAATCACTGGGAGTCTTTCCGTAGGACCTTAGGTTTGATCAAGTTTTCCATGCCGGATGAAACATCACGGCTTTGTCGCCTGGCTGAGGCAGTAGTTGCACTTGGAGGATTGGTGCTCCAAAACGGAGCCAGCCAACTTGTGAAAACCGCTGGAGCTGTTAGCCTGTCGGCTCTGACGGCTTGGATGTGTTGTCATGAAGGGCTGGCATCTATGGCTGACATGAAGAAGGAAAACAGTGAACCAAGACCAGCACAAGAACATCACAAGAGGCCTAGGGAACATGAACCAGGCCCAACTGAAACTAGCATTGGTGACTATGCTACGCACTGTAGCCTCATAGGCTCCCCGGCCGTCACTCCTCGTCTCTGTGCGTTGGGCGGGCACGCCATGGCTGGAGAAGTTCCCCAAGGGCCTTGGAAAGGACCTGGAAGCTGAGCGGGTCACAGTGGTGTGGCATTGTCCTGGTGGACGCCCTTGGACCAGGATGATCCACCAGGATTTTTGGGGTCTTGGTGGCCAACCCATTCCTGGTGTGGAGCAGTGGAAGGGGTACACTTTCTTCCGGGTGCGAGAAGGGAACCAGTCAGGTGGCAACAGCTCTGGTCTTCCCCGGACCCGACCGGACATTGTGGTCTGGGGTGATGAGGACCCGCTGCCACCGATGGCCAAGCAGGGTGGAATGTCAAGTGCCTATCCACCTCCTGGAGCTGGAGCTGGAGCTGGTGCTACGCCGGCGCCGAAGGCTGATGGGTACCGCCAGCCGACGCCTAAGACCGGCAGGTACCAAGCTCCGACAGGGGCGAGCGGTGACCTTCCTCGTGGCCGTCCTGGACCTGGACATCGTGGAAAAGCAGCTATGGGAACTGGTGCTGGACCCATCAGTCCTGTTGAAGAAGGACGCATGACGGCAGCTGGCCGCACCACTATGGGGGCAGGACCTATGGGAACTATCCCAGTTGGAGCAGTTGGAGCCGATGGAGCTGAAGGTGGTGGGAATCCGCTGCTGGCGTCTTTGAGATTGACGATGCGGCCTCCTGAGATGAATCCTGGTGGACCGGCATCTTCGAGCTCTCCGGTGATCCCTGGGGAATGGTCCACAGGTGGAAATCCGCCTGGGCTGGTGACTCCGAGAGGGTCTGTGGCTGGAGCCTGGGCTAGACAACCCGGCCTGGTGGTGAAGGCCTTGGGCACGCCGTATCAGGCCGAGCGGCGACTAGACCCTGCGCCAGAAGGCCTGGAGGAAGAGGAAGAGGAGGATTTCCAAGAAGAAGCCTTGGAATCCGAAATTCCAAGTGAGGATGAGTACACCCTGGTTTCCGATGGAGATTCCAACCGTGGTGCAACCCCTGACAACGAGGAAGAGGACATGTGAGTGTCGGGCTTTAGCCTTGGGACCCAGCGAAGACTGGGCCCCTTTTTGGCCTTTTTGGGCTGCCACCGAGATGCTGCTTACGTAGCATAGGGGAGTGTGGTGGCATTTTTAGAGTTTCGGATGACACGCACAAATCAAGAAGTGTCAGTACAGGCAGGTGAGGTCATAAGCCTTTGGACCTGATCAGGCATGGCCCCTGCGCAAGGATAACACACACTGATGCATTCATGGCTCAAGAAAAAGGGGTGACTGCCTTGTTGCCCTTGCCTTTTTGCCCGTTTTTAGGGTTCGCAACTTCAAATAAACCTCCAACCTCCAACTTAGTGACTTAGTGATCCTCCCCGTATAATCCCTTCGACTCCAGGTACAGCAACTGGTGGACTATGGACATCAACGGAGGGCCGCGATGGAGAAGCTCTGCGGAGCCGGGAACTCCCAGGCTCCAGCAGTGGTTGAGGCATGGTTTTCATGGGTTGATGTGCCTTTTCCATCCCCGATGGTATTTCCACTACAAAAAGGGAGAACACGTGTACGGTATAAAATGGTCTGGGGATAGGTTTTTGTAGCTGAAATTAGTCTTGGGCCCCCTTTTTGTAGTAAAGTTACCCTAGGCATTTTGTAGGCCCCCTGTTTGGCAAATACAATAGGCTTTTTGTAGGCCTCCAAAACGTGGAATCGAAAATGGAAGATTATGTGATATTACATCAGCTTATAAATTGCTGACTGCATTTTGTAGTCTCTTTGTGGCTGAATCATGCAATGTACAACGCAGCCCAAGAGAATCAGGGAATGCATTTTGTAGCCTCAGTATCCCCGTTCGAATTTCCACTACAGAATGGGAGGCCTTGTGCCCCGTTTCAAGGCCTTGCCAGGCTTAAAATAAGATGAAAAAATGGGGTTGAAAATAAATACTATAGCCAGGACCATGACGAAACAGTAACTAGTCTGCCGAACAGGCAGTGTCCTGAACAGGGACGTTTTTTTTTTAAATAGGAAACATATGTAGTCCAGGACTTTGTCCTTGGAGTTATATATATATATAGTCCAGGACTCTGTCCTTGGAGTTGTGTATATATATATATATACACCGTGTCTTTGGAGTTATACAAATATGCGTAGCTTAGTTCCCTAAAATAACGCACCTACCCTAGTAAAAAAAACAAATTGCAGCTCTTGGCAACGTTTTGTGGGAACTCTTCATTTGTTGTGTTTTGGTTGCTTTTTGTTTATTATTACACACAATTAAATGATCCATAGTGATCCTAATTGACCCTAATGAACACTAAATAACATTCATTGACACTAATTGGACACTAAATGTCACTAATTGACACTCAATTGCACTACTTGCCACTAAATAAAGCTAATCGATACGAATTGACACCACTAATTGACTGTAGATGACACGATGTCACACTAATTGACACGCATATTAGATACCATGCTTACATGAGGGTCGTTGGAACTTCATGCAATAGTTGATCACAGCATGCATTTTGTAGTGAAGTGAGGCGGCCTCATCATTTTGTAGCGCGCAGTAATTGGATGGGCAGACTTTGGTACTTTAGGTGCTCGACACGAAATAAAACCCAGATATATAAGTAGTTAATACTACAGATATATATAAATATATATAAGTATTAAAAAACATATATATATATATATATATATATATGTAAATTGCTACAGATGTATACTAGGATGTGGTCCTTGAAAATAAATACTATAGCCAGGACCATGACGAAACAGTAACTAGTCTGCCGAACAGGCAGTGTCCTCAACAGGGACGTTTTTTTTTTTAAAAATAGGAAACATATGTAGTCCAGGACTTTGTCCTTGGAGTTATATATATATATATAGTCCAGGACTCTGTCCTTGGAGTTGTGTGTATATATATATATACACCGTGTCTTTGGAGTTATACAAATATGCGCAGCTTAGTTCCCTAAAATAACGCACCCTAGTAAAAAAACAAATTGCAGCTCTTGGCAACGTTTTGTGGGAACTCTTCATTTGTTGTTTTTTGGTTGCTTTTTGTTTATTATTACACACAATTAAATGATCCATAGTGATCCTAATTGACCCTAATGAACACTAAATAACATTCATTGACACTAATTGGACACTAAATGTCACTAATTGACACTCAATTGCACTACTTGCCACTAAAGAAAGCTAATCGATACGAATTGACACCACTAATTGACTCTAGATGACACGATGTCACACTAATTGACACGCATATTAGATACCATGCTTACGTGAGGGTCGTTGGAACTTCATGCAATAGTTGATCACAGCATGCATTTTGTAGTGAAGTGAGGCGGCCTCATCATTTTGTAGCGCGCAGTAATTGGATGGGCAGACTTTGGTACCCAGATATATAAGTAGTTAATACTACAGATATATATAAATATATATAAGTATTAAAAAACACATATATATATATGTAAATTGCTACAGATGTATACTAGGATGTGGTCCTTGAAAATAAATACTATAGCCAGGACCATGACGAAACAGTAACTAGTCTGCCGAACAGGCAGTGTCCTGAACAGGGACGTTTTTTTTTTTTAAAATAGGAAACATATGTAGTCCAGGACTTTGTCCTTGGAGTTATATATATATATATATACCAGGACTTTGTCCTTGGAGGTACATATGTATATATATATATATAGTCCAGGACTTTGTCCTTGGAGTTATGTATGTATGTATATATATATAGACCAGGACCTTGTCCTTGGAGTTACTTATGCGTATATAGTCCAGGACTTTGTCCTTGGAGTTATGTATATTCATATAGAATCATATATATATATACCAGGACTTTGTCCTTGGAGTTACATATGTATGTATATATATATATAGTCCAGGACTCTGTCCTTGGAGTTGTGTATATATATATATATATATACACCGTGTCTTTGGAATTATACAAATATGCGTAGCTTAGTTCCCTAAAATAACGCACCTACCCTAGTAAAAAACACAAATTGCAGCTCTTGGCAACGTTTTGTGGGAACTCTTCATTTGTTGTTTTTTGGTTGCTTTTTGTTTATTATTACACACAATTAAATGATCCATAGTGATCCTAATTGACCCTAATGAACACTGAATAACATTCATTGACACTAATTGGACACTAAATGTCACTAATTGCACTACTTGCCACTAAATAAAGCTAATCGATACGAATTGACACCACTAATTGACTCTAGATGACACGATGTCACACTAATTGACACGCATATTAGATACCATACTGGGCTTTGAGCAAAGATGATTCGAAAACAAACTGGGTGAGACTACAAAAAGACTTGGGCTTATCTTAGTCGCTTTTGCATCTGTTTTCAACATCCATAACAAAAATGCGAGTGGCTTTTTGTAGGCTCCACCTGGGTATGTGTGGGGTACCTGCAGCATCATTTTGTAGAGCTGCTTTTTGGGTTGGGCATACCTTTTTGTAGCTAGGGGACCCGTGACCCCATATTTCATACCTACAAAACTGGTACACAGCTGCTCACCCTATATTCCATCGAGGATCCTTTTCCAACGTTCCTTTACAAACCTGTTGCTTTTTTGTCGGATTTTCCATTTCTTTCAGAAGAAGATGTGATTGATTAATATCCACATCACTCCGTTTTAAGTTGAAGATATTTTGGTTTTGCGTTATTTTTCTAGATGATGTGAGTAAACACTACTTGATGGGTACGGTACATAGCATATACATATCCCATTCTCTTTGGACACAGGTAGATTGTATAGATAAAACAATATGACACCCTGCTGAACCTCAAAGTAGCTGGCAAAATCGATCTAATACACGTGCTTCCTGTGAAAAGTCGGATTTTACACCCATATATATATATTTAATTTCCAATATATTTTCCATATATTTTCAATATATTTCCGGACCTTCATCTCATTCAAAGCCCAAAAAAATTAGGATTTCCCCTAAAGGCATGACCATGACCCATTCATCCCATGGATCATGACTCACCTGGAGCCCAGGTTCATGGACGGTCACACACGGCTGGGGGCATAGGATCTGGAACAAGGGTTGGAACCCTGGAAATGGCCACCTTTTTTGGGGGGATTTAGATGAACTTATGGATATTTTCTAAGTTTTTCTCTTTCATTTTTGTATGTTTTTTTCTTTTAAATCAATTTTCTATATTTATGTATATACTCCTCAAAAATATATATATATACTCTTGTTCATTCAAATTCTTAAACTTGGATGGTGCTAACTTGATTGATGGTTTCGTCAAATTCGATTGGACCTAGCTGGGATAGGCTGGCCTACCGGAGCTTCTATGTCTACCCGGTCCCCAAAGACATCCCCCGAGTGGAAAAGGTGAACGCCTACCTCCAGCTATATATATATATATATATATATACTCTTTCAAAATTGTAATTCCTCTACTCCTTGGAATGGCTTGTTTGGGGGATGCTTGCCCGATTCATCGACTTCTCGGAAGTTAGGGAGGCCATGCCCAGCCCTAGAATTGGCGGTCCTGTGTCGTGAAGTACCCCAGTTTCGGGCATAACGGCAGCGATAAATGAAACCTGGTGATCAACAGGAACTACCAGCCGATGTTCTGAACACATTTTTTTATCATCCACTCATATGCACTTGAGCCGTCAAAATACCCTGGCTGAGTGGTTACTATAGAGAATTGTACTACCTTTATCTTGATGGGGATTATGATGAATATCCATAGTAGGGAAACTTATCGACCAACTAGTATAGTGAGATAAGATATGGCCAGTTTTAATGGCTTGTATCCACTAACAATGTTGATATAGGCAGTCGGAGGAACCCATCATGGCTCTGGGATGATCTTCTTAGGTTTCAAAACATTTCACAATGGCAGATGGTCACTTGTCTGTTGGTTTCAAAGGCCCATGAACTGTATGTTTCCATAAATCCAGCTGGTTGGTGGTTTGGAACATTTTTCATTTTTCCATAATATATGGGATAATGCTTCCCATTGACTAATATTTTTCAGAGGGCTGGCTCAACCACCAACCAGCCAGCTGTTCTGAACTAATCAACTTAGATTTAGCTGCGGTCCCCGTACCCCTCAGTTGCCTCGAAGCCCAGGTCTTTACCTTCCATTTGGCTTGGGAGCAGGAGCGGCACTCCATCGCCCATGGGCTGGGAAGTTTCCTATGAAATATATAGAGGTCTTAATGGGAAAATCATGGGAAAATCAGGGGAAAATATCGAAAAAGATGGGACATCCATTGTAAATGGAGATTTCGAACTGTGAAAATCATCTGTAGTGGATGTTCCAACAGGCCATGTTGACACCGGAGGGTATCCATAGGATCTATCCATCAATGCATCAGATTTCATTGCTGCATACCGCATACTGCCATTCTAAATTCCAGATCATAGACTTATCACAACATGATCACAGCATTATCACAACATCCTCACAACATCATGATTATCATCTTCCCCGTCCTCTTCCTCCTCCTCACGTCTGGTTTTGTTGTTGAGATATTTGGGCTTCTTCAAGCAGTCTCATCAGTTTGTTTCCCGAC